TTTGCTGACTGTATGTCCAGAATCAGAAGAAAATAAACAAAAACTGGATTCCATTTATGTGGCTATATTTACCATTAAACTTTTTTTTTTTTTTTTGAGTTGAGGGTCTCACTCTGTAACCCAGGCTGGAGTGCAATGGCCTGATCATGACTCACTGCAGTATTGGCCTCCTGGGCTCAGGTGATCCATCATCTCAGCCTCTCAAGCAGCTGGGACTACAGGCACATGCCACCACACCTAGCTAATTTTTTTTATTTTTGTAGAGATGAGGTCTTGCTATGTTGACCTGGTCTTGACCCTCTGGGCTCAAGTAATCCTCTTGCCTTTGTCTCCCAAAATGTTAAGTTTACAGGTGTGCACCATCATGGCCAGCCAAACTTTTGATTTTAAAACTACCCTCATTTAAACAATTATATGTACTGGTTATAGGAAAAAAGGCCTTTTTTTTACAGTTATGGAAAAACTGGCTAGATTTTATCATTTGGGGGCAGAGATAATAACGTGTGCAAAAAGTAGATAGAATTTAGTCATCAGGGAAATGCAAATCAAAATCACAAAGAGATACCAATTCACACCCAATAGGAAGCTGTAGTAAAAAAGTCAAATGATTAAAAAGTCAGATGATAATTGTTGGCTAGAATGTGGAGAAGTCAGAATCCTTATCCACTGCTGGCAGAAATAAAAAATGGTGCAGCCAATTTGGAAAACTGTCAGTTAAACACAGAATTTCCATTTGACCCAGCAATTCTGCTCCTAGGTAGATACCTAAAAGAAATGAAAAAGTATATACACACAAAAACTTATAAGCAAATGTTCATAGCGGCATCATTCATAATAGCCAAAAAGTGGAACCAGCCCAAATGTCCATTAGTTAGTGAATAGATAAACCAAGTATGATATAGCTATACAATAGATTACATAGCCATAAAAAGGAATGGAGCACTGATCTATGCTACAACATGGACAAACCTTGAAGACATTATGCTATGCTAAGTGAAAGAAGTTTGTTACAAAAGACCGCATATGAAGTGACTCTATTTATATGAAATGTCCAGAATAGGCAAATATATAGAACCAGAAGGTAGATTAATGGTTGCCAAAGGATGGGGGTAATACCTAAAGGGAACGGGGTTTCTTTGAGGTGATAAAAGCTAAATTTCTTGATGGCGGTGGTTGTATAACTCTGAACATACTAAAAAATTGAGTCGTGTACTTTAAATGAATGAACTGTGATATGTGAATTATATCTCAAAGTTATTACCAAAAAAATCAAAACAACAGAACAGTTTATAACCTAGGCATTTGGGTTCACATTACTGTTTTTGTGGTTCTCATGCTGTTTTTTTGATCTTGTGAGACTATTTCTAGAGAGAAGGGCCACATAATATGGTGAATGAGCAAGAGCTTTGGAATCAGTCAGACCTGGATCAACTTATAGCTTCAACATCTTCTAGCTGTGTGTCTTTGAGAAAATTATCCTACCTTTCTAAGTTTCCTAAACTGTAAATTGAGGAGAATAATATCAATTTCTTCAAGCTATCACTAGGGCCCTTAGTAAATATGTAGTAAGTATTAGTTGCTCTTAATGTTAAAACGAATGATTGACTTCTCATCAGCATGGTTTATCTAAAACAGGGATGAACCAATCATGCCTGTGAACAGAGCACTGGACAGAATGATCATAATGGAGAGAGACTCCAGATACTCGCTTCAACAAATATTTGCTGAGTGGGTATGGTGGAGAGAGGGGAGGTTAAAATGAAATGTAGCTCCCTCAACCCTCAGGAATTTACTGCCTGGTGGTCAGCACTGTAGTAGAAGTGTACATCCTTTTTCTAGTGATTTTTTTTTTTTTTTGAGTAGGAGTCTCACTCTGTCACCCAAGCTGGAGTGCACTGGCACACTCATGGCCACTACAGTCTCGACCTGCTGGGCTCAGGTGATCCTTCTGTTTCAGCCTTCCAAGTAGCTGGAACCACAGGCGTGTGCCACTACATCTGACTAATTTTTTTATTTATTTCAGAGATGAGGTCTCACCAAGTTGCCCAGGCTGGTCTCGAACCTCTAGACTCAGGCAATCTTCTTGCTTCCGCCTCCCAAAGTGCTGGGATTACAGGCGTGAGTCACACTCCCGGCTCTGGTGATTTTTAATATTAACATTGTTTTAAGATATGACTTTGAACCAGGTATACAGGAGTAAGAGGAGAAGCCAATTGAGGGAATTCTTGGGTAGGTATACTGGAGGAGATGACACCCAAGCTGAGTCTTGAAGAATGAGAAAATTTAGCCTGGCAGAGAAAGGCCAGAAGGGTTTCTCTGGGTGCAGAATCAGCACAAGCAAATACCCAAAAAGCCCATTTATGTGCCAACTTTCAACTTTCTGTCTCGCAAATTCTGGTTCCTATGTCACATGCAAACTTACAGTCTTCATTTGGATGGCTCATACACTTCTTAAGCTCTTCCCCTCATGTGACCCCCTCACTGCTTCCCCCATTTCTGTTGATGACAACTCCATTCTTCCAGCTGTTCAGGCAACAACCTTGGGAATCATTTTCAGCTACTTTGTTTCATTCCTATATCCAACTTGTCAGGAAATCCTCTTGGCTCTACCTTGAAATGTATGCAGAATTTGAGTCCTTCTCAAACCTGTGCTGCTTGGTCTGAATGAACCACCTGGATCTGAGCCACCATCAGTTCTTGCCTGCTTCTACTCGCATGAACTACATTCTCTAGACAGCACCCAGAGGGACCCTTTACAAATAAAAGTAAAGTCATGACACATGTCCATTCAAACTCCCCTACGGATCACATTTCACTCAGGATGAGTTGTCATTTGACCCAGCAATTCTGCTCCTAGGTAGATAGGAGAAATGAAAACATACATACACTGAAGTCCTTACAAGGGTGACAGCACCCTCTGTGATTCTCCCACGCCTTTCCTTACCTTTCCTTCATTCTCCCTTCACTCCACTTTGGATCTCTGATTTTGTCTAGCCAAGGTAGTGGTTTATTTTGTCTTTTCCTATGTAATATTGAAAAGGCAATAAATATAAGTAAACATTGTGCTTCCTTGCTATACAAGCTCACATTGTCTTACACTTTCTTTGCTTAAGTATTAACATACCTGGGAACCCCTGGCCAACGTAGAAGACAAATGTGGAGCCACTGAAGGTTTTAACTAGGTCAGGTTTGTATTTAGATAGACTCTGCTTCCAGCATGGAGAATGGATTTAAGGGGAACTTCACTGGAAGAAAAGACTGGAAAGAAAGACAAGTTAGGAAGTTTTTACAAAAGTCTGTATGGGAGCCTGTACTAAGGCTGTGGTTGTGAGTGGGAGTGGAGAGGAGATTCCAGATTCTGGAAATACTTTTAAGGTGGAATTGGCAGTGCTTGAGTATATATGGGTCTTGAGGTGACAGTTTTAGAGAAAAACTTCCAGGTCTCTGGCTTGAGTCACTTAAGACACGGAGGTACCACTTGGTGAATATGAGATTTATTTCAGAAGATGAAATTTGAACATAAAGGATGGGGGAAGATGTGTTTCCTCTTGGTTATCGGAGTTGGCACTGCCAACACAAGAGCAACCCCTGTGACCAGCAACCAACTGGATTTGAGGTTCTTAGGCTTGGGGGAAAGAGGTCTCTACTGGAAATTTGAGTTACCCGTTATTTTTCTAAAAATGTTAATTTTTTTCTAATTATAATTATTTTAGTTTTCAGTGTACCTTTTTTGTATTCTTCCATCATCATAACTTATTTTCTGGGCTGGGTATAGTGGTTCAAGCCTGTAATCCCAGCACTTCAGGAGGCCGGGGCGAGAGGATTGCCTGAACCCAGGGGTTCGAGACCAGCCTGGGCAACTTGGTGATACCTCGTCTCTACAGTAAAACAAAAAATTAGTCGGGCGTGGTGGCACATGCCTGTGGTTTCAGCTACTTGGAAGACTGAGATAGAAGGATTGACTGAGCCCAGCAGCTCCAGGCTGCGGTGACTGTCCACGAGCCACTGCACTCCAGCCTGGGCGACGGAGTGAGAGTCCAACTAAAACAATAAAAATAAAAAATAACTTTTTTCTGAACACACACTATAGGTGGCTTGTGTATTGCCCTCTCTCCAACATCGTCCTTGGGTAATTTTTTTAAAGCCTCGCTGTCTTGAAAATGCTCCAGTCCTAACCACAGGAGCAAAGGTGTGGGGGAAGATCTGGTTCCCAAAGCCCACGCTCATGTAACGTTTTAAACAAGCATTGCCTGCAACTGTGAGCAGGGTCAGGAGCCGGGCGTTGACCTCCTCCTGCGGGATCAAGGCCGCCCAGGCCGACTCTTCCCCTTCTCCCTCTTCTCCGGACCAGTCGCGGGCCCGCCTCGCCGCACCCACGTGCCCGCCCGCCTTTTCTCACCAGGAAGCACCCTGGACGGGGCGGGCGGGGTCTCCCCCAGGC